TGAGACCCCACCTGGAGTACTGCGTCCAGTTCTGGAGCCTTCAGCCCAGGAAAGACATGGACCTGTTGGAGTATGTCCAGAGAAGGGCCACAAAGATGATCAGAGGGATGGGGCACCTCTGCTGTGGAGACAGGCTGAGAGAATTGGGGTTGTTGAGTCAGGAGAAGGCTTTGAGGAGACCTTATTGTGGCCTTTCAGTACTTAAAAAGGGCCTACAGAAAAGATGGGGACAAGCTTTTGAGCAGGGCCTGTAGCGATAGGACAAGGGGTAATGGCTTTAAACTAAAAGAGGGAAGATTGATATTAGGTATAAGGAAGAAATTTTTTACACTGGGGGTGGTGAGACACTGGCCCAGGTTGTCCAGAGAGGCTGTCAATGCCCCATCCCTGGAAACATTCAAGGTCAGGTTGATGGGGCTCTGAACAACCTGATCTAGTTGAAGATGTCCCTGCTCATGGCATGGGGATTGGAGTAGATGACCTTTAAAGGTCCCTCTAACCCAAACTGTTATATGATTCTATGAAAATATTTGAAGAATAATCCCTTTCCCAATGAAACTGGCGAAAAAAAGCCACCTTCAGCCATGCATCTCCACTGAGGCAGAATTTAGCCTCCTGAGATGTTTGCCCCTTTGATGGGGCTCCTGACCTCCCCTTTAACCTGCATCTGTCAGAGAGGTGGGCACAGCTGGACCAAAGCTACACCTGGAAAATCATTTTACTCTAAATGACAGTTATATTTCCTTTAAAAAATATCCGTGTCACTTTCTAGTTTGTGAAAAATACAGCCAAGACAGTTTGAAGTTGCACTCCTGATAATAAATGATGCGTGTCTCAGGCAGGTTTGGGGGATATACGGCTTGGACCAGAAAGAAAGACCAATTACTAGATTTGACAACCAAAGCTCTGTTCTATATTATGCCTTATATATAAGCTGTTCTATATTAGGCTTGAAAAAAACTGCATTAAGCTTGCGCTGTAACCTATCGTTTAAGATTTGTGTCTTGATTGAATGCCTTCAGAGTTCAGCGAGAGGAAAAGCCCTAGCAACAAAAAATGCACGTATACACACAGGGAGGAGGAGGCGGAGGGGGGGGGAGAGGAAAAGAGAGTTTTAAGTGTCTGGTAAAGTAGCAGCTTAAATGAGCATGAAGGCCGAAGATTGCTGACTGTTTTATTGAGTCACTGTTGTACGCCCACCTTTTCCTGTCTTGAAACAGTTTTCAGTTTTGACTATCTGACGTGACTAACCGTTGCATATCTAACAGATTACAACTGTCAGTGAGTCTCCCCCAAACGGGGGCCAGCCCCTGGTGAGAACGTGCGCTCAGACGCGGGGCAGCTCCCCTTTATTTATTTCTTTTTTAACGTTTTCATTCAGCTAAAGGCTGCCGACGGTCTTGTGCAACCTCTGTGTGAATTCCAACTATGAAAAATCAAAAGAAAAAAAAAGCAGGCTTACGCTAGCGACGTTGGTGCACACGGCAGTTTCTCACCCTCACCGGAAAGTTGGGGGCTTTCTTAGTATTTCATGGATGGAATGTATGTAGGGAAAAATAGTCTGTTCCTGTAATAATGATGTCATCACGTTACCCCTGGTATATGAAGGACAGGAGACGCCGATTCCCTGTTAAAATGACTCCCAGGAGGAAAATATATTCTTTCCTCATCTTATTGTAGTCGAGTCAAACAAATGAAATGATAAAACTGTGTGAAGTAAATAACATGTGGCCACATTCTGCTCTCTGTCACACAGCTGCAAAACTGGAGTAAATTTTTAAATTATCTGACTTGCTTTGGATTTACACCACTTTCAATACAGCAAAGAATTTGGCTTGTCCTCAGCAGTGAATCACTTTTGTTCTGTCATTGTATGATGACCCATTATTAAATAAGAAACATTTAGATTGTCAACACATGGACATATTCTTGACATAGAGTAAAACTGAAGGGGAGGAAAACTCCTATGGTCAGTTATGTTTTTAATTTTCACGATTGTGGTAACGACAGGGAATAATTTTAAACGTCTCTGATTCCTTACTGAACATGCATGTGACTGTTTTCATGTTGTAATCACTCATTCCTTGTTGTTTTTTTCCCTTTGTAGGGAAGAGCTTTACTTTGACAATAACTGTCCTGACAAATCCCCCCCAAGTCGCTACATACCACAGAGCTATAAAGGTTACGGTGGATGGGCCAAGGGAGCCAAGAAGTGAGTATTATATTCTTATTTTTGCACTTACGTCTGCTTAATTTTGTTTAACGGAGACCTATAAATGAAATATATCTCTTTGTCAAACATTGGTTCTTGCTCAGCGAAATATGTAAGCGCATGCTTAATTTGGAGGCGATTGGACCACACACATACTTGCATTAAACACACACTTAAGTGCTTGGCTGAATTTGAGCAATCACGAACCTGATTCTCATTCACATCAAGGTCTTGATACATTATCTGCCAGTGTAAATGAGAACTAAATCCACTATATTTATATATAATCTGATTTAGCTATAATAGATACAGTCCTGCAACATGCTGAATTCCCTAAGCTCCCGTAAGCTTCCAACGGAAGATGTTTAGACCAAAACAGGAGCCTGATCTGTCAGGATCAGGCCTAGAGCAGAGAGAAAATATATAATATAGTGCCTCCTTGTTTGCCCTTAAATTCTTTTGCCATCAGATAATTAATGCACCTGGTTAATCTCATCATACCTGAAATTGGTTTTCAGCTATGGACTCATCATAGACCCCTGGGGGCCAAAGAAAGATAAAATAACAGCATGGTCTTTGTTTCTTATTTGTGCACAGAAAGTATGTTTTATTTAAACATAGTCCAGCAGATTTCCACTCAGCACATTTATCTCCCAGCAGTGCACCTTTCTCACTTACTAAGAATCTATTTGCAGTGATCACTGGACATATTTTTATGAAAATTTGGGTTTTGCCATGTTGTAGCAGTTTTATGAGTAGCGCTTATTTTTAGATACAGTCGAGTCTGGTTAATCCATTATGATTTATACAGCTGTCTCTCTGTCTAGCACATTTAGCTGGTAACCCGTCTCCCATCATATGGGTATCACTGATGAGCCAGTTCTGGAGTTTTGTCTTAATCTAACTAAAACGACTCTTTCTAAATTGATTGGATTAACCAGGTACAGCTGTATTTAAATTGCATTTAGAGATTAAGAATTATTTGATGAATAACCACATTAAAAAAATCCCTCTAACGGCAGCATCTCAAATAATTATTTTGCCTTTGATCTGCACATGCAAATGAGACCTTTAAGGAGCTTTCACGGAGTTTTGTTTAAAATACCAGAAAGGCAGAAGAAGTAGAAAGACGTAGACAGAATTCATGCAGTGAAGTGTTTCTCGTGCTAATACACGCTGAGGTATCCTAACCCAAACTGTTATATGATTCTATGAAAATATTTGAAGAATAATCCCTTTCCCAATGAAACTGGCGAAAAAAAGCCACCTTCAGCCATGCATCTCCACTGAGGCAGAATTTAGCCTCCTGAGATGTTTGCCCCTTTGATGGGGCTCCTGACCTCCCCTTTAACCTGCATCTGTCAGAGAGGTGGGCACAGCTGGACCAAAGCTACACCTGGAAAATCATTTTACTCTAAATGACAGTTATATTTCCTTTAAAAAATATCCGTGTCACTTTCTAGTTTGTGAAAAATACAGCCAAGACAGTTTGAAGTTGCACTCCTGATAATAAATGATGCGTGTCTCAGGCAGGTTTGGGGGATATACGGCTTGGACCAGAAAGAAAGACCAATTACTAGATTTGACAACCAAAGCTCTGTTCTATATTATGCCTTATATATAAGCTGTTCTATATTAGGCTTGAAAAAAACTGCATTAAGCTTGCGCTGTAACCTATCGTTTAAGATTTGTGTCTTGATTGAATGCCTTCAGAGTTCAGCGAGAGGAAAAGCCCTAGCAACAAAAAATGCACGTATACACACAGGGAGGAGGAGGCGGAGGGGGGGGGAGAGGAAAAGAGAGTTTTAAGTGTCTGGTAAAGTAGCAGCTTAAATGAGCATGAAGGCCGAAGATTGCTGACTGTTTTATTGAGTCACTGTTGTACGCCCACCTTTTCCTGTCTTGAAACAGTTTTCAGTTTTGACTATCTGACGTGACTAACCGTTGCATATCTAACAGATTACAACTGTCAGTGAGTCTCCCCCAAACGGGGGCCAGCCCCTGGTGAGAACGTGCGCTCAGACGCGGGGCAGCTCCCCTTTATTTATTTCTTTTTTAACGTTTTCATTCAGCTAAAGGCTGCCGACGGTCTTGTGCAACCTCTGTGTGAATTCCAACTATGAAAAATCAAAAGAAAAAAAAAGCAGGCTTACGCTAGCGACGTTGGTGCACACGGCAGTTTCTCACCCTCACCGGAAAGTTGGGGGCTTTCTTAGTATTTCATGGATGGAATGTATGTAGGGAAAAATAGTCTGTTCCTGTAATAATGATGTCATCACGTTACCCCTGGTATATGAAGGACAGGAGACGCCGATTCCCTGTTAAAATGACTCCCAGGAGGAAAATATATTCTTTCCTCATCTTATTGTAGTCGAGTCAAACAAATGAAATGATAAAACTGTGTGAAGTAAATAACATGTGGCCACATTCTGCTCTCTGTCACACAGCTGCAAAACTGGAGTAAATTTTTAAATTATCTGACTTGCTTTGGATTTACACCACTTTCAATACAGCAAAGAATTTGGCTTGTCCTCAGCAGTGAATCACTTTTGTTCTGTCATTGTATGATGACCCATTATTAAATAAGAAACATTTAGATTGTCAACACATGGACATATTCTTGACATAGAGTAAAACTGAAGGGGAGGAAAACTCCTATGGTCAGTTATGTTTTTAATTTTCACGATTGTGGTAACGACAGGGAATAATTTTAAACGTCTCTGATTCCTTACTGAACATGCATGTGACTGTTTTCATGTTGTAATCACTCATTCCTTGTTGTTTTTTTCCCTTTGTAGGGAAGAGCTTTACTTTGACAATAACTGTCCTGACAAATCCCCCCCAAGTCGCTACATACCACAGAGCTATAAAGGTTACGGTGGATGGGCCAAGGGAGCCAAGAAGTGAGTATTATATTCTTATTTTTGCACTTACGTCTGCTTAATTTTGTTTAACGGAGACCTATAAATGAAATATATCTCTTTGTCAAACATTGGTTCTTGCTCAGCGAAATATGTAAGCGCATGCTTAATTTGGAGGCGATTGGACCACACACATACTTGCATTAAACACACACTTAAGTGCTTGGCTGAATTTGAGCAATCACGAACCTGATTCTCATTCACATCAAGGTCTTGATACATTATCTGCCAGTGTAAATGAGAACTAAATCCACTATATTTATATATAATCTGATTTAGCTATAATAGATACAGTCCTGCAACATGCTGAATTCCCTAAGCTCCCGTAAGCTTCCAACGGAAGATGTTTAGACCAAAACAGGAGCCTGATCTGTCAGGATCAGGCCTAGAGCAGAGAGAAAATATATAATATAGTGCCTCCTTGTTTGCCCTTAAATTCTTTTGCCATCAGATAATTAATGCACCTGGTTAATCTCATCATACCTGAAATTGGTTTTCAGCTATGGACTCATCATAGACCCCTGGGGGCCAAAGAAAGATAAAATAACAGCATGGTCTTTGTTTCTTATTTGTGCACAGAAAGTATGTTTTATTTAAACATAGTCCAGCAGATTTCCACTCAGCACATTTATCTCCCAGCAGTGCACCTTTCTCACTTACTAAGAATCTATTTGCAGTGATCACTGGACATATTTTTATGAAAATTTGGGTTTTGCCATGTTGTAGCAGTTTTATGAGTAGCGCTTATTTTTAGATACAGTCGAGTCTGGTTAATCCATTATGATTTATACAGCTGTCTCTCTGTCTAGCACATTTAGCTGGTAACCCGTCTCCCATCATATGGGTATCACTGATGAGCCAGTTCTGGAGTTTTGTCTTAATCTAACTAAAACGACTCTTTCTAAATTGATTGGATTAACCAGGTACAGCTGTATTTAAATTGCATTTAGAGATTAAGAATTATTTGATGAATAACCACATTAAAAAAATCCCTCTAACGGCAGCATCTCAAATAATTATTTTGCCTTTGATCTGCACATGCAAATGAGACCTTTAAGGAGCTTTCACGGAGTTTTGTTTAAAATACCAGAAAGGCAGAAGAAGTAGAAAGACGTAGACAGAATTCATGCAGTGAAGTGTTTCTCGTGCTAATACACGCTGAGGTATCACCTCCTCTCGGGCTGAGAGACAGGAACTGAATTTCTTTCTGTAAGAACTGTCCAGGCTGTAGAGTTACACCTTGAATAAAAGCAAAGAAAAAGCAAATAGCTATGGATAAATTTCATTACGTAGCTACTTGTGTCGCTGCCTGCTCACAGCTGAGGTGTTCGTCTGTCACAGCCAGGGGATTTTTGTTCTGTCTTCTTTCCCGAGCTGAATGAATTCCCATTTTTAATTTTCACCTATAGCTGGTGCTCCACATCATTTTCTTGGAGACACAGGGCAAACTGCACTCATGAAGTAAAAACTAGGGAATAAGTTAGATATAATTTAGTCGTTCCCGTTTGGAGGTTGCTTCCACGTGTGTATTGAGGTGTCTGCAAAAGAGGAAATCTCCCAGCAGAGGACACAACTGCTGGGAGAGAGCAGAGTGGTTTGAAAATGATGTGGAGAATAGCATGGACCGCTCTGTGTAGCACAGAAAGGGAACCTGCTTGCATTGGGACTAACCATTTTGGTGACTGGTGGGCTAAAAGCGTGGCTGTGTTCATGTAACTTAGTAAGATTTCCAATTTCTGCTGGAGTTTTTTAGTTTGGACCTGAAAGGCCTCTGGACCTTATACCTGCCTGCTGTTCTTACTAATAGCTGAACCTAGGAATGCCCAGTAACTTAGTTCTTATAGCCTAGATGAAGTTATTGTATCATTCTTCCTATTGTTTGTTTTTGTTTTTTTTTAAAGAATGCTGTATTTCAGCTTGATTATCCATTTTAATGTTAATATTTTGCCTAACTACTTACTGAAGCTCCACTCTGGGGTCAGTTTGGTTCTGCAAGATCTGTTATTGCAGCCTGATGCTTTCCAGGCTATGACACCTCCAGTTACCCAATTTCAATTGTCAGGGAAAGAGTAGCTCCAGTGAGCCGTGGGAGTTTCAGTGAAGTTCTGCTTCCTTCTGAGAGCCCCTGCACTCGTGTAGATTTATTGCTGCTTGGTAGCAATCGCTCAAGAAGTGTGTCTGGCATTTACGTTGCGTCAGGAAAATTAGGTGGTTGGGGGCAATAAGGAATTCAAGTTAACGAGCGGCTCTGATAGCAAATGTGTTTTTCTTAACAAATTATGTATCGGTAAATAGTGCCCCTCTCTGCCAGGATCTGTATTTCACTTCGACATCTCAAGCGCGTTATCCCAGTTTTCCTCTCTCTGGCAGCTCAACCAGAGCTGTCACATCACAAACAACTTTTTTCTTAATATACACATCTGGCGTTGGCAGTTGGACCAACTTCATAAGAGCACATGATCATCATTCATTACAAGATTAAAAAGTACCCCATGGCATCATTGATGTTTTTTAACTTTGATCTTTCGCAGTCGTGATTCATCTCAGTTATAAAACTTCCCTTTAAAGGAGCACAACCGATGACTTATTAGAACCTTCACTCTAAGTAGCGTAAACATAAAATTATGCACATCTTTACAAAATGTCATTTACTTTGTTGCCAGCTTATCATTCTAAGACATGACATCATGCTTCAGATCATGAATTTGTAAGGCTTGTTTATAGGCAAGGCCCTCTGACCTTCTGTTGGCAAGTTTGACTGGAGCGAGCGAGCGCCGCGTGCTCTCGGCAGCGGCAGGAGCAGCAGCAGCACCGTGACAGATATCACAATCATTTAGAGCCTGACTTTAGGAGCACTGAGCAGTCGTGGCACGCAAGTGACTCCAGTTGGTGTTTTGGATGCTCAGCACCTCAGAAGGTCAGGTTCTTAAATGTAAGTGCCATTTAGTTGTATTAAACATCTGCTTGTAGAAGCTTGCTGCCTTGCCTCTCTGTTATTATTTTAAAATATTTTCATAAGAGAGAGTGATGTCAGGTTGCCCTGTTAGGAAAACCTGCCCGTTTCTATACGAGAAAAGGTCCTGTGAAGATTTTTCCTTGGAAAAGATTTATTTATTTTTAATCATCTGTTTCAGTGTATCTAGATTACCACCCAGGGACGTCTACTGTGTTGCAGAGTCTCTGTGCTGGATTGAGGCAGCACATTGCACTCGGAGTGATGGAGTCTAGAGACAGGGTTGTATAAGATCTTTGGGAATCGTTGGGAAATCCTGCAGATATTTTTCTCTCCTCATATCCAGGATGAAACCTCTGCCATATGCACATCTTAGCCAGCAGAGCTGCCGTCCAGCTGGGAGGGCTGAAAGAAGTTTTCTGGAGAAATAGGTTGTCATGAGGTCATAACCGACCGACAGATAGCAAGAGATCACTGTGAAGGAATTAAAGGAAGAAAAAAACAGAACAAGAAAACCCCCCAAACCTTTACTTAAGCCCCACTTTGATGCTTTTGCCTTACCTCATTAAAAATACAGAAGTAATGATTTGCCCTTCCCTAGTGGCACTTTTCGAATAGGAGACATGCCCTCCTTTCTGGCTGCTGTTGTCAGAAACCCGATCAGGAGGGAAATCATGAGGAAGGAGGGAAAAGAAATCTATGCAATTTTATATTTTGCCTGGCTTCCATAGATTTTAGTTCATCCCTAATGAAAGGTAGTCTCCAAAGTCACCGGCCGCAATTTTCTTTATCGGCGTGAATGGAAAAGTAGTTGTGGGCTTTGAACTGGAGCGTTTGAGGAGGAGAAAACTCTTATTTCATTCAGCTCCCGAATATTTCCCGGCCGCCGCAGCTCGCAAGGTGCACACGTGATGAAAGGTATGAGCAAACATCGCCTTTTTGTCTGTGCACGCTGCAGAACCCGGCGAGAGAGAGAGAGAGAGAGAGAGAGAGAGAGAGGTTCTGCTCTGCCTTTGTATTAACCGTTTGGCCGACCTGCCGCGTAAAGCGCAGATAAGTGATTGAGATTTTTGAGATTCCTCGACTTAAAACCATAACAGTTTTTAGGAAGTTCTCCCTCTTTCCTTTCAAAGGCGGAGGGATAAGTCTGGGGCTGATGGAATGTGCTTTGGAGTAGAACAGCTTTAAATCTTTCAGTATTTTTTTTTTTTAAATATATTTTTCTTTTTTTCTTTTTTTTTTTTTTGTTGACTGCCTGTCAGGAGCTGGGCTGGTGGCCAAGCAGGAAATGACACATCGAGAGGCATTTGTGTTGTGCAACATTTTGTGGAACTGATGCAAGGATACATTGTCTGTTTACGCATTCCTCTGCTAACAGCCTGCATGGCAGTAATTTTATTCAGGGACACATGGCATGCTACAGCAAGGAGCTAGATCCTTAACATCTCTTCATGCAGAATTATCACAGCAGTTAAAACACGCTGTGTGTCCCCCGTTTAGAGTATTCTCTGGCTCCCCTTCAAAAACCACCCTACCAGCCCCCCCCCTTCCTTCCCAAGAATATATTGATTTGGCTGTGGGTTTTTTTTTTTTTTTTGCGCTGCGGTAAATTGGGGCAGCGCAGAGAGAGAAAGACAGAGACAGAGTTTGCAGAAGAAGAGGAAATTTTACAGGCAGGTCCTACTCTACTTTGGTGCATCTACCTCAGACTGGAAGTGGGGGATGGCAGGTTTTTCAAGCGACGCGTCGCAGGCGCTGAACGGGGGAGTTTGCATCTGCGCGTGTTTTGGCACGGCGAGGGTTTGTTTTTTTTTTTTTAATTAAAGTCATTGCTAAATACCCCGAGATACGATGAGTGAGTCTCCTGGGTTTTCATCCAAAGCGAAGTCAGAAAATCTGCGACTCGGGCTGGTGTCTGAATTTCAGAGTGACAAATCTCTGCTGAGACCGGCTGGGTTATTCCGGCTTTTCTCCCGGCGTAAGTGGGAGCAGAGGAAGGCAGAGTGGGCGGTCTGGCGGTTTGCAAGTT